GTAGTAGTAGCTGTAGTATCTACTTTCTGCAGCTGTCCCTGGACACTAGACTCAATTTTTAAAAGTAGTAATTTTTTTATTCTGAAACTTCCTGGAATTATGAACTAATTCTCTGAATTCAAGCTGCATGACACACCTTGTATGAAAGCTTCCTAACACTTTAATTATTTAACTTGTGTAATTTTATTTTCATTAATGCCATGGGAGCCTGTGGTGTTATCAAGATGGAAAAGCAAGAAAAATGCCAATGTGATGCCTCTTGATTTCTCCCTCAGATGCATTCTATTGACAGGATGGATGAAAGATACTGATGGCAACTTTGGGGGAGAAAATGGACCACTTTGGTGGGCTCCTGTTGTAAATTCTTCAATTATTGTACTGTTTAATTTCTGTTAGTTCTTTCAAATGAAAATTTCCATCCCCCCAAAAATATAATTTCATCTTATTTTTTTCCCATTTATTTATTCTCTCACTAGCTCTTCCTGTATTTTTCATCTCTACTGACCATGTAGGCATCAATGACCATTCCAGGAGTTGGAACTCAACTCAACGGACTCAACATAACTCCAGCTCATAATGACTACACAGCTCAATGAGGGAGAAAAACAAATCATCTCCTTCCAAATGTCCTTCCTTTTAATTTGCTTTCCTTCCTATTCACTCTAACTTCACATTGGACCATTTCGGCCCCAAGCAGTGAGCCAGAAAAGAAGACATTTTTAAGACCTGAAGAGCTTAGAGTGAAGTTGTGACTACTGCAGCCAATGTTTGCCTCTGGGTGATGGCAATCTTCAAAGCTCCTAACGCCACCCATTCTTTTGATATGTAAACTAAATTCCTAATAAATCAAGCTCCTCTTCATTCCACAGAGGACAGCATACTTGTTCAAAATCTCTTAAGATTTTCACTGATGTCAAACTTCTGATGACTTTCATCTCGCCGAGTGCTCTGCTCTGGGTTTGAACCTCACTGTCTTGTCCCACAGATGATTTCCTTCTTCCTTTTTGTCTTCACATGGCCCAATGCCTTCATGATTTAAAGCAGAATTAGCAGGTTTTGGCGAGCGGTAATAGAGGCAGTGTTATCTTAAGCTGCTGCGATACTGTCCTTGACTGTCCAGAGTTCTGCTGGTGAGCCTGTGTAGGTATTTGTTTGATTCATGTCACTAACTCTGTCTCCTCCTTAAAGAGTTCACCTTTTCCCCTTCTTCTCAAACTCCAGCTTCTACCCTTTCAAGAATTCTCTTCCTTCAAGGAGTCAGAAGACACTCTCCAACTCCTCTCATGTCACAAAGCACACTTGTGTTCTTCGTTACAACTTTCTCGTTTTAGTTTATGCCTGGTTTTTACCTTTTAAACAATTTTTAAAAGTTGTTTATTTTTCTGATTTTGTGTAAACATAACAATTACCTACTTCTGAAACAGGTGTCCCTTTTTTTAAATGCTAAAGCTTATTCATATTTATTCATCTGTTTGTTTTTATTGAAATAGATTCTTTACCCATACATTACCTCCCTACCGACCTATCACAGTTCCCCTCCCCTCCGTATGTATCTCCCAGCTTCTACTCACTTCCCATCTCACCCAACCCACACCCATCCTTTCCTCTTCAGAAGAGAGCAGGCCTCCAAGAATGACAGCCAAATGGAATAAAACAAGATACAGTAAGGTAAAGCAAAAGCCCTTATATTGGGGCTGGACAAGGCAACCCAATAGGAGGGAAAGACCCAAGAGGCAGCAAAAAAGTCAGAGACACACCCGCTCCAACTGCTAGGAGCCCCACAAAAACAACAAGTGAACAACCATATCACATACACAGAGGACCTGGTACAGACCATGCAGGCCCAGTGCTTGCCACGTCTGTCTCTGAGCTCATGTGTGCACTGCTTAGTTGATTTGGTTGATCATGTTCTCCCGGTGCCCTCCATCTCCTCTGACTCCTACAGTTAGTCCTCTTCTCTCCCATGGGGTCCCCTGATCTCATGCTCTCTCTCTCTCTCTCTCTCTCTCTCTCTCTTTCTCTCTCTCTCATAATGACTGGCTGTGGGTCTCTGCACCAATGACAACTGAACAAGCCCCTGATCTGTGAACACTCACAGAATATAATATAATTAGGAATCATTGTTACACAATGTTAGTAATACCTTAGTCCTTCAGATATATAAAGTGCCTAAAAGCGAAAGCTACACATTCATAATGCAGCAATTAAAAAAAATGATGCAAAATACAAAATCATGGTGTGGTCCAGCTGTGGAGTCCTAAGCCAAAGACTCAATTCTGAGGATGCCAAAAGAAGCACTCTCACAAAAATCAAACGGGCAAAGAATTTGTGAAAATTACGATAGGGACTCTAAAGAGGATGACAGTCTGGGGAGTTGAGGAAATAGTCCTTTGTTGGTATTTATAAGCTTTTTTTTTTTAAAAATAAGTATCAAGAGGGACAAGAGTGGGAACATCAAGAAGCATATATATTCAAGCAGTCTTGGTCAAACTGTGATCTGTTTGGTCACAGTCAGCTCAGGATTGGTCATGTGGCTCTTGTTAGGAGAAAAGAAAGTTGATGTAGTGATTTCAACTCATCACAAGATTTTTGTAGGCTACCCTGTCATTCCTGGCATCCAAGTTAACTCACATGGAAAGAGACAGTGATGCCAAACTCATCTTGCTTTTAGTTATCCCTCGGGCATCTGCAGATGCTTTTTAGCAGAAGCAGCTTGTAAGTTCTCATTACAGTTCTTTGTTTTTCTAACCTTTATATTTATTTCATGCATATAGGTGTTTTGGAAGAGTGTCTGTCTGTGGACCACTTGCTTGTGGTGCTCCTAGAAGCCAGAAAAGGGTGTCAGATCTCTTGACAGATCATTTTGAGCTGCCATATGGGTGCTGGGAATGGAACCAAGGTCCTCTAGAAGAGCATCCAGTGCTCTTAACTGCTGAGCCACCTCTCCAGCTCTCTTGTTATGGTTCCTAAAATAATGATGACACAAATATTCTAGCTCAGTGCAGCAAATGGCTTGCAGAAAACAGCTGCCAGTCTCCAAAGCAGTATGTTTTAAACTCGTTTGCATTTATAGGTTGTTCAGATGGCTTATTTGCTCAAAACTGTTTTTTGAAAAAAACAAAACAAAAACAAAAACAGAATTACATCAAAGTAGACCTAACAGCCCGACATGCTTCTATCGAGCTGGTAAATGTTTATTATTAGTAAGCCTCTGGGGAGTTTTATTAAGAATAGTGATGAGTATTTACAAGTTGAAAAGTCTTCCAACTCATTAGATGACTTGCTTTTATCTTTTTTTCTGAAAAACACATAAGAAATTGGTTTTCAATTTTTAATATGCATATTAATCATCCAGTAAGCTTGTTAAATGCAGGTTTCCTCTCCATGCAGAAGGAAGTCTCATGGTGGTGGGAAGTAAGGAATTCATACTTTTGTATATTCTTCAGTGGACTTTGTTTGAATGGAGCTTTGTTCTACCCTCTTCTAGGAACATGGTGGATAACTTAAATTGTTTCTAAATACAACTGCTTCAACACATATAAACACTGTATTCTGGAAGAGCATTTTGAGGCAATAATTGTATTTTAGAAAGTTTACTAAAAATTGGATCCATGTTTTAAAGTAAAAAAAAAACATTTTTGTATACACTTTCTATTTCCATATTGTTTAAAGTTAGTACAGTAGTTTCACATAAGTGAATTATATGGAATAGCAAGCCCAAAATAGCACTATCAGTAATTAAATGCCTCTAAAGCTATGGTTCTCAACTTGGGGGGCGTTATGACCCCTTCCGGGGGCTCAAACGACCCTTCCACAGGAGTCACCTAAGACTATTACAGGACACAGATATTTACATTACTATTCATACCAGTAGCAAAAATCACAGTGATGAAGTAGCAACAGAAATAACTGTGTGGTTGGGGGTCAGCACAGCATGAGGAACTGTAGTAGAGGGTCACAGCATCAGGAAGGCTGAGAATCGCTGCTCTAAAGTCTCTTTGTGCCATATTTTAAAAACCCAGGTAATATTTCTGCTTAATAACATTTCCTCAGAGAAATGGATTAACCTTTGCAGTCTGTGTGCTAGGCGGGGCTGATAAATAATAGTCTGTACACCGCTGCCAGATTTGGATAATCTGCAGCTCTTGTGGTTTTGTAACCAACTATCAGTTGAGAAAAAAAAAATAGCAACTCCCTGCAGGAGTAGCTCAGTAGGCAGAGTTCTGTCCTAGAACGCATAAAGAATGAAGACTGATCTCCACTACTGCAAAAAACCAAGCTTGGTGATGCAATCCTATAATCCCAGCACTTGGGGGTTGGAAGCAGGAGAACCTAGGGATGACAACTGTCATCACCCACATAGAGAATTTATGATGATACTTTGCTTATGATCTGATAAAGCTTGTTTGAAGATCAGAGTGCAAAGCTAGCCAGAAACATAGAGGCCAGGCAGTGGTGGCACACACCTTTAATCCCAACACTCAGGAGAAAGGGGCAGATGAATCTCTGTGAGTTCAAGGTCACCCTGGGCTACATGTTCATATCACATGATACCCAAAACATTTATGGAAACTGATAGCGACGTTTGCATAGCTCCTAAATTCCCACCGGTGTCATCTGCCTTATATCTACAGTTATAAACCGTGCTTTAAAGTTTTTAGGTCATAAGCAATTGTCAAGATTGGAACTACTGTCATAATTTTGTTTTCCTTTTTCAGACTGTTGTCATTAAAAAAAAATTGTTCTGAGATAATTTTTATGGTTTCTTCACAGTTTTGCCCCTTCCACACAACATAAAGCAAAGCTTTGTTTATATGTGAGCAAAGACAAGAGTTTGAATAATCTCACAGGTCCAGCCTGGTTGGCTTTTGAGAATCATCGCAAGTGACATCCCTAAATATCGGGTTATTCCTTTTGGTGGCCATTGGTCAGTGCCTTCTGGGCTAGGATATACGTCTGTGATGGTTCAGGTCACTATTTCTGTTTCTTTCTTTCTGCAGTTTATTGCTTTTGCTTCTTTATTCTTCATCCTGGTTTCCATCACAACCTTCTGCCTGGAGACACACGAAGCTTTCAATATTGTTAAAAACAAGACAGAGCCAGTCATCAACGGCACAAGTGCTGTTCCCCAGTATGAAATCGAAACGGATCCTGCCTTGACGTATGTAGAAGGAGTGTGTGTGGTGTGGTTTACTTTCGAGTTTTTAGTCCGTATTGTTTTCTCACCCAATAAACTTGAGTTCGTCAAAAATCTCTTGAACATCATTGACTTTGTGGCCATCCTCCCCTTCTACCTGGAGGTGGGGCTCAGTGGGCTGTCCTCCAAAGCTGCTAAGGACGTGCTTGGCTTCCTCAGGGTGGTTAGGTTTGTGAGGATCCTGAGAATCTTCAAGCTCACTCGTCATTTCGTGGGTCTGAGGGTGCTTGGACACACGCTTCGTGCAAGTACCAATGAATTTTTGCTTCTGATCATCTTCCTGGCTCTGGGAGTTTTGATATTCGCTACGATGATCTACTATGCGGAGAGAGTAGGAGCTCAGCCTAATGACCCTTCAGCTAGTGAGCACACACAGTTCAAAAACATCCCCATTGGTTTCTGGTGGGCTGTGGTGACCATGACTACCTTAGGATACGGGGATATGTACCCGCAGACATGGTCAGGGATGCTGGTGGGGGCCTTGTGTGCTCTGGCTGGAGTGCTGACAATAGCCATGCCCGTGCCTGTCATTGTCAACAATTTTGGAATGTACTACTCCTTGGCAATGGCGAAGCAGAAACTTCCGAGAAAAAGAAAGAAGCACATCCCGCCCGCCCCTCTGGCAAGCTCACCTACGTTTTGCAAGACAGAATTAAATATGGCTTGCAACAGTACCCAGAGTGACACATGTCTGGGCAAAGAAAACCGGCTTCTGGAACATAACAGATCAGGTAAGGCACTATTTCAAACGTGTACCATGGAAGACTTTATAGACCAGTGTATCCTATAGGAAGCCATGCTTATTTGCTGTAAATATATTTGAGTTTTCAGTTTTACCATTATCAGAAAATGCGTGCTTGTGTGAGACTTGTGGATAACCAGACTGTAGCATCTCTGCGAGTAGATCTGCATAGCAGGCCTGTGGGGTTTTCTAACACTGATGGGAATGACCTCTGCTGATGGTGCCAATATTTTCTTTTGCCCATTTGTTGCTTCTGTGCCGGTGTTTCTTTGTTTCTCTGCATGACGTGATGGTATGATCTTAACCATTTTCCATTATTCATTCTCAAAATGTTTACCTCCATATCATTTGGCTTGGTGTGTTTGTCTCAGTTTTACCTCTGCCACATGGTACTCTGCATCTCAACCTAATTCGTGAGAAACGGTTACTTACGGGGAATGGATGCTTACACATCAAAAGCCTAGACACTAAAGAGGTGATGTGGAAGACAGATATTTCAATAAGAAACCTCATTATTAGTAATATTCTAGATCGACTAAATTTCCACTGTTTTAAAATTAGCTAGTACTTGGCATTGGTAGTGCATGCCTTTAATCCCAGCATTCAGGAGGCAGAGGCAGGTGGATCTCTGTGAGTTCGAGGCCAGCCTTTTCTACAGAGTGAGTTCCAGGACAGGCTCCAAAGCAATACCGAGAAACTGCCCTGAAAACACAAAAACAAAAACAAAAAATTAGGTAGTATAATGCAGCCTAACACTTTCATGATACATAATTACATATAATACAAAAAAAAAAAAAAAAAAAAAAAACCAGTAAATAAAACACCCACCATTGTTCAGTGCACAGGCAACATACCGTGGCAACCAGTGACAAATTCCATCTCTTTCTGGCAATCATCTCTAATGGCATTGTGCCTTGTTCTCTGTTCCCTTGTAGAACTGAATTTTGAATATTTTACTGCTTGGCATTTGCTGGAATGCTCCCTGTATGTTGTACATAACCTACAGCTGATTGATTGTAAGTTGAGAGTCTGTCTGTCCAAGCCAAGTCAGAGGGAGTTCTTGCTTGTCTATTATGTCCTAGTAACACATACTATTCTTCAAATTAACAATTTAAATAGCTTCCTTTGAAATTTTAAAGTAAATATACAGCAATATTTTAGATCTACTTGAACTATTATATGGGAAAAAAAGAAAAAGAAAAGAAAGGTGGCTAATGATCTCATGTCCCATTTAGAAACAAGGACCACCTTAGCTTCTGAAAAATTTTATGAGGTAAACAGAAAATTCAAAGTTGTGTGACCAGGGATGAAATGCTGTTCAGTTTTCCTTGGCAGTTCTTATGTGCATCTTGGAATTTACCTGCAAAATTTCATCAGCACATATCTGACAACTATTAAGAATATCTATCTGAAAGGGGGAACTTAGCTAAGGCTGCTCTCAGTGTGTTTATGCAGAAGCCTCAAGGAAGGCATGGAAAAAAAGGAAATATCTTCATCTCTACTCAATGCTGTAATATCAAGCTAGTGTGCAGGCTGGTATAGATATGTAGGAAGCCTTTGGCAAGCATGCAGAGGTAAACACTTCCACAGACATAGGCGATCGTGCTGTATGCTCAAGATGGTTTTGTGACTTCAAAGTGGGATGTTATTGTGCTTTGGGATTACTTTAAGTTTTTTTTTTTTTTTTTTGGCGGAAAATTTAATTTCAGGAAGGTGGGGAAAACATGTCTCTAAGAAAGATTGAGTGATTTTCCTTAAAGATGCTATACTTGTGGCCGTCCATTTGTAGTATCAGAATAACATGTAACAAGTTACAAGTTACATGGTAAATTTGTACTAATTCATTACTGCATTTGTTTTGAGTTCATGCTGCCTGTGTGAAAGCTAATTACCCATGAGACAGATTCCAAAAACAAATCAGACTTTTGTAGGGAACACTTCTCCCCCTTTTCGATACATTTCCATTTTACTCCGTGTAATTTTTTTTTCTTTATTGTGGTGAGTATTGTGATGTGATTACTGTGTTTTGTATATTGAGTGACTGGCCTACAGGTATCTGTTGTAAACTCTCTGTACTGTCTCATTTCCTCATCCATCACTGTCTGTCAATGGGCGTGGTGCTGTGACCAGTGTTATCAGGTGACGACAGCACAGGAAGTGAGCCACCATTATCACCTCCAGAAAGACTCCCCATCAGACGCTCTAGTACCAGAGACAAAAACAGAAGAGGGGAAACGTGTTTCCTGTTGACGACAGGTGATTACTCGTGTGCTTCTGATGGAGGGATCAGGAAAGGTAGGCATGCATTTAATCAAATCATAGTAGGTAACTTCGCCAATAAAAGTGATGTAAATCCTCATTCATCATTTTCCAGGGAACGCTGCATGTGGTATTCTTTTATTCTCTCCATCACATCTTCTCTCATTATTACGCACTTTGTAATACTCATTATGACAGACTACTTAATTGTTACATGTAAAAAGCACCACCCTTTATTCTTTATATTTTCTTCATCTTTGCAATTACCATTTGTCTATGGGTAGAATTTTAACAGAATAGGAAAACATCATTAAGTCAGTAATAAATTATTTTAGCACAATGCTTTTTAGCAGTCTTTAAAAGTTATTTTTTGTTTGAAAACAATACTCACTAAGTGGCTCTATGACTATATTTGTTAAGTAATTGATGGCCATTAAACAATTGATAAGGCATATTATTTTTCAAATGAAGGAAATAAATGCCCTTTAAATATCTTTCCCAACAACTGCCCAGGTAGCTAATACCAGTAGCTTCCTTGACTGTCTCAACGAGCAAGATCCTCTGCTCTGCCATGTGAATATTTTTAAAATCACTTGAAAGGTCACTTGTGTGGTTAAAAATACGCAAGTAGGCCCAATAAAATAATTTTAAATCCAATAATATTTTCAGTAGACACTAAACAGTACTTAACATGTAGGAGATGATAAATATTTGATGACAAATTAAAATGTTGAGTAAGTGTCTTTGTTCAAGAACAGGTAAAGATCTACAATGATTTATTAGCCTCATTGACTAAAATCCAAACAGAAACTTCCATATTTTGTTATACTGTATTCTGTAACTGATGTCCATGTTTGTCACGCAAAGTAGTTTTTCTAATTCTTCAATGTTTTAAACTTAAAATGTATGTTTTGTGATGTCTTCCTTAAAACATACCTCATAACTCATACTTTCATCTCTTCTATACATTTCATTTCTTCTCTGCTTTGATGTCCTTGAACACTGGAAGCAAAGACAGAGGACTCTGTTGTATTTTCATTTTTTTTTCTGCTGAGTAATATTTCAGATAATTCTTCATCCCAACCATTTCCATCATTTCCATGTGTTCCTTGAACAAAAATGTGTTGCAGTCCTCTGAGTGGGTTTCTTTATTATTTTACATTTACATATGTGCTAGAAATAAATATTTTATGAGGACAGCTAAAATCTTACAGTATTTGAGTGAAATATATGTGCATACATTAGGCAGTAATATCTGTGTTCAAAACACTTTTCTTAGTGCAAATATAACTTGACAAGCTTTGTCTTTGTATACATGCATGTATATATGTGTGTACACACACATATATGTATATGAGATTAAATATATATTCATTTTTATGCATCTTTCATTATAGTATTACATGCAGGGCTTATACAAAGGTAATGTGTTTAAAGATCTTGTTACAAATTTTCTTCCACGTCAAATAGTACTTTCTACTTTTGTTAAGAAATGCCTGACAAAGGCTCTGGACACTACAAGATAGCATGTTAATATAAAATTCTATTGTAAAATTTCAATTTTATGAACAAAGCAATTAATAAAATAGTTATTTTGCATGAAAACATGTTATTTTATTTCACAAATGAAAATTTTATTTTTTAGTGAGGACTTGATTTTTGTAAACTGGTTAACCCACAGTACTTCATCATTCTTTACCACACCAATTCCCACACATCCTTGTTCATTTCTTTCATAGCCATATGTTTTTTCTATGTGGGCATTGTTTCTGGAAACACTTAACCGTTTTGACTTTTGTCTTCTACTGTCACGAATACCACAAAGTCATCCATTGACCCTCCTCTTTCCTTCACATAGCATGTAGAGTTCTTTTATTCTACCCAAATATTTATGTCCTATAGGAGCTACTTGCTTTTCAAGTTGAGTTTTCTACTAATTTTATTTCAAAGTTCAAAAATTTCTCTCTGTATAAGTTTAAAAAGGAGTTATTGGATTCCTGCTTGTTATTTTACATATAAATATGAGAAGATTTCATAATGGTTTTAGAGAAAGGATTCATTTAAAGAGTAACTTTCCAATACTTAAGACCTTTACGTTTCTTCACAACTGCTTTTGAGCAGCATATCATCCAAACTAAAGCCTTAATGAATAATTTATATATATATATATATATATGTGTGTGTGTGTGTGTGTGTGTGTGTGTGTGTGTGTATACACACACAAAACAGTGTTATATGTAATATAAAACCTTGATATATATATATATGTGTGTGTGTGTGTGTATGGACACTGATATATATCTCACTGATATATATAAACACAAACACCCACACACATATATACTTAAAACAGTGTTATATATAACACTGATATATATGTAAACAACATACACATATATACATACACACACACACACACACATATATATATATATATATATATATATATATATCAGTGTTGACATTACTCCAATTGAGCACATGCTTCTAAGAGTTGAATAAAATGCGAGCTTCATATTCTGATGTTGATTCTAAGTAGGTTTACTATTGTTTATTTTCATGAGTAACTTAGATTTTATATTTAAATAATCATTGATATTTTCAGTCACTCCAGGAAAAGCTTAATTAAGTAGAAAATGTATCAGAATTTCTAGTCAGAAATATTTATAGAGTAGGTAAAACTAAAGATATATAATGAACATGTAATTTTACTAATTAAATACTTGTTGCTAAAAGAGGAAAGCTTTTTCAAATGATATTAAATTATAAAAATGAAAGGATCTGTAACAAAATAAATATTTACTTTAAAATCTATAATTTGGAAGAACAATTAACATTTAGCATAGCAACAAGATTCATCTATCACTGGGTGAATAAAATAAGGTTGTCTAATAGATCATTACATTTCTGAGAGTTGTATAAGGACCTTGGGGGCATAAAGTACCCTTTTTGATGCATATACACCAGTAATTAACATTCATCAATATCTATAATCTAGTTTATGTGTTTTAGGTCACATAATCAACTTCTACTTCATAGGAAAAATCATTTTCTCTGTAGTTTTCAAAGTTAAAATACCAGTCACTTTAGAGAAGAACAGTAATAATGAAATTATCATGTGCATGGTTTCCATGCGAGGATAAATTACTTTCAATTAAAAAGAAATGAAGGTATATTTCCATTAACTATCACATCACCTAGCAGCATGGAACGAAAACACACCCTCTTCAGTGTTCTATAATAAAGGATCCTAAAAGAACAGAGGCAGGTAAATGTGTATTCAACAGAAAGTATATCCCACAATCCATTCTTGTAATTACCTAATGGTGTAATGCCTATTCACAAAACCATTTAGCAGACATCCAGTCTACTGGATATCAATGTGTATGCATGTGGGTAGGGAGTGTTCATTCCTTTTCTCTCCCGTTCATCCAGTGTTAGCCTGTTATAAGGTTGTTATGGAGTCTGTCTTGATGCGTATTTGTCTTGGCCTCTCCTATGTCAGATTAATAGACAAATTACTTCAGTCCCAGTGGAAAGCAGTAGAGGTGTTACAAAGGACTCTTCTTTCTTTTCTCTCTGCCCCACATTCAGCAAGCACACTAGAGCCCATGGAGAGTGCTACACAGTCTAGAGGAGACCCAAGGCAAGAAGCTCACTGGGATTGTGTGCATTTACTCAATTTTGGTTGCCCTACAGGAAGTTCATTTCCAGCCCTGTAACTGTTCGGTGGAACTGCCAAAACGTTCATTTCCAAAACTGTGTGATAGGACCCCCTTTTCACTCAAATGTCTTGCTTTCTACCTCACGTCACACTTTATAGGAGATGCACCCCAAACTCATTCAGTTGCCTCTAATGCTCTACTGAAAAATGCTACAACATGTGAATCCCTCCAAAAGTCACAGGATGGGGTAACTGGCTGAGTGGTTAAGGAAAACAACCAAGCCAATATTCTTGAAAAGCTGTTTAATCATTTAAGTACATGGATATCACTAGCAATAGATCAGGTGGGAAATTTGGATTAAGATAAAATTTGCCTCAATTTCTAGAGGGTGAAGGAAAGAAATGAAGTCATCTGAGAACATCAAATTCACTGAAATTATGACTCAGTTTACATTTCATTTGCTTCTTTTTCATTTAATTTTATTACCTAAGGTATTGGTAATATGCTTTCCATCCTGTATCACCTGGATAATGGCACCAAATGCCATTATTAAATGTGAATCATCCTTTTAAACTTGTAAAACTCAAAGGATGCATATGTTGGAAACAAGTGTACACTTCAAGTTAAGCATGCTTCAGTTGCTATTAATACTAAAATTTAAAAAAATGAAAAATAGCTCATGTGTTTTTAATTTTCAGAAACACATCCTGAACTTTAGAAGAATTGAGTCTGTAATCATCTTTAAGTAGTTGTGCCTAAGTTTTAAAAGTTCTTATAGTCTCTATGCCCAACTTACTTCAGTGCTAACTATAATCTGGACATAAACTCGTTTTGGAATTTTGTAGCTCTAATTTGTGATAGCTGATTTTAATAGTTTCAGAATGCCAAAAACAGTGAATTTCAGTTTTCAGATATATGAATTGTCTCAATATTGGATCCTCCACAAATGTTTTGAGCACAAAAATAACACTTTTGATTACCCTGCAAGGTATTATTTGTCTCTGTCTATTTTCTGGTTGAATTCAACTGATGTCTGTGCATTTTTTCATAAAAGGATATGAAAAATCCCGAAGCTTAAACAACATAGCGGGCTTGGCAGGCAATGCTCTGAGGCTTTCTCCAGTAACATCACCCTACAACTCTCCTTGTCCTCTGAGGCGCTCTCGATCTCCCATCCCATCTATCTTGTAAACCAAACTGCATCAATCGGCTAAATTATATCAACACAAGTGCTGTTTACTCTGTAATGGAAATAATTAAATGTAGAGTTTCTCTAAGCTCCATTAATACAGTATAAATCCTGCATGGTATTACTATTTGAAGTCAGGAATGCTACTTGAGTAGCTAAAACATCTCATTCTGGCTTTAAAGGTGACCTGAAGTAGTGCTACTACTCAGTATGAGTTTCCCCCCAGTCTCCTTTTGCAATACAGTGACCAATAGTGTCAGATATTGGCCAGTACACTAATGCATAACCATATCTTCAGGGAGATATACTTAAATAGTGTGCTTCTAAATGCCAACCACTTCACCGGACCTTCATTCCTTGTGACTCCAAACCGTTCTGAAGATGTCTGGGATCCTATCTAGATTGCACACAACATGGCTTTGGTCAGTTCATTTGCATGGACCATCTTGTCTGTATCACCTGAATACAATGTTGTAGATGGCTCAGGGTCCATGTCCTTGCTTCAAACCATCCTGCCGATGTGAAAGCACTGGTCGCCTGTTCTGCATGTTGAATTGTGGGGCAGGGAGGGTGCCCTTCTCCTTGGTATTTCCCCCCCCCCACCCTTTGATAGAAATACTTGTTTTAAATAGCTTAATTTCTTGATTGATTTATTTGTCTTAAAAAAAATGCTGTATTAGTGTTCTGAATGTTTTTGGTTGTTTGTACACACAGATAACTGCAAAGAGGTTGTCATTACTGGTTACACGCAAGCCGAGGCCAGATCTCTTACTTAATGACTTGGGGAAGGCACAAAACATGAGAGAAAGGTAACTGCTAGCCAGGCTTGAATTGTTCAGCCAGGAATTGCTGCTTGGTAATAGAGCCATTCCCCCCCCTCCCCCCGCCACTATAAGTCCCACAATTTTTCATTAGTTTCAGAGGTAGAGTGCTAAATATTACCTAAAGGTCTCATGTAATTTTATTTATGATTTTGTGTGAGTATCAAAGGTTACTGGTGTTCACTAGGGAGTTGTTATTTTTTGTTGTTGTTGTTGTTGTTTGTTTTGTTTTGTTTTGGACTAGCCTTAAAATTTGCATCAAAGGACTAACCAGACTTTTCAGGCCGTGTTTAATCAGGTGCTTTGTCCCGTGTGTTGTTTCTGTACGTCTGTCTTAGCTTCCTGTCTTAACTGCAAACGCCATCTGTCTCTATAGAGGGTAGATGTGCCCTGATAAGCTCTTTAAACTTAGTACTGATCTCCCTACCTCCTGCCCCCTGTCTTTGCTACTTGGAGCAGCCTCTCTGCTTTGTATACATATTAACAATGCTCTGTAGACTACCTAAATTACTAGGCACTGTGAATCTTTTTTGATGAGCAGGACTGAAGCAGCAATCTCACCATAGTCCTTGGTTGCCTACTGCAGTGCCGGTTTTTACAACCTAGCAACCAGCATTCATCACTACATTCCAGCAAATGTCCCTAGGGAGTCTTTTGCAGTCTGGACAGAGGATAGTCTGTTTACACATCCCTACCAAATGCCATAGCAATAGTGTGTCTGATATTTTGGGTATGTGAGGGAAGAAAAATGCCATAATATAATTGCAGCATAGACAATACTACTTTTGATGCAGTAATCCTTAAGAGTGTTAATGAATTCTTAATCCTTGTGTTTATTTTTGATAGAAAGACAATAGTCATTTTTGCTATTGGCTAAAGACATGTGTTAGTCTTCATTCCCAAGCCATAGAGCATGAGCTGCATGTCAGAGATCTTGTCCACCAATGCATTTACCCAGACGTAGCAATCTGAGATTTAGAAATACTGTGATTCCTTTGATAACACCACTCGTAGAACGCTATAACTACTCAGAGATTTATGGTAAAGAATTAATATGCTGTCTGGTGCTGCTGTTATTGACTGCAGTGTTGTACAGAATTTATCATGGATTTTTGACTGCTGAAAAAGGGACAATAAGATTTAGCCATACCAAGGATTGTACTGGAAACTCCTGCTACCGAATGTGCCCTGATGTGACCAGTTTATGATCAGAAGAGGTTCCCGCACCTTCGTGAGGCATTTAAAGCTTTTAAAGGAACTGTGGCTGGAAGTGAAATGGTGCTTGCCCTGGAAATATTCTGCTTCTCAACTGACCAGTGTCCAGGAAACAACTGTAAATACCAATGTGTACATGGGTCAACGGCTCTGACAATCTCAGCATAGGAAGCCAAGTTTGTGATTAGCATCTATGAAGCTTCAAGCAATGCCCACTAAGCTCTGAATGGCTCCTCTCTGGCTCATGGTGGTTTTGCTGAGAATTACACAAGGCAGTGAATTTGATGTAGTATAGGTCTGTTTTAATTTCTCTTATTTGTACATCATGTGTTGGATACACAGACACTGACTGCCTCGTTTTCTTGTGAGCCACTTACTTATATATCAGCCTGTCAACTGTGTTGTAGACTTTTAGTGCCTCCATATAAAAGCTAACTCATTTCTAGTCATATATTCATTTAGTTCTGTAAAAGTGTTACTATCTAAAAGAAATTCACCAACGGTATTCATAGTTTAAGTCTTTTGTCATTGTTACCTCAATTATAAATATTAAAATATAAATTCTGGCAATGAGAATATTTTTTTATTAAATGATCAAGGAAAATGTCAGTATATAGTAGAATATTATCAAATTATATCCTAAAATGTCTATTTTGCATAAAAGAGATATTCTTCAATCGATTCCTTTTTTTTCTTTTTTGGTGAGCTTTGTGGCTAATGAATCGTGTATTTGTCTTTAACACTGCTGTAGCTGAAACTGTATATGAGTTTTTCATCTTGCTTAATCAATGTTTCCAGAATCGATTAGTTCCCCTGGGATTCTGAATATACTATATAACCTTTATGAACCCCTGTATCGTGTACCTTTTGTGACATCTCAAGGTGCATGCCTAATCCTTGGTGATAAACCAATGGACATGTTACTAACTGAAATGAAGAATAAAAGGCAAATTAGCTGGGGATGAACTTGAATCCTACCTGATTAAATTATTCATATCACTCTTTCGGCTTCTGTCTTTGTGTGTTACTATTTCATCAGGGTCCTACGATTTTTCTGCTTCCTGTTTCCACCACACACACACTCATACATCCCAAGAAGAATGAAGGGCTCTTAAAATATCTAAAGTTATCATTTTCACCCAAATCTTAGATAACATAGCTAGTGTTTCCCCTGTTCTTTATGTCTTTGTGCTTCCGCTGTCTAAATTCCTCCTAAAAGACTATAAAATCACTAATCACTGTAGTATTCAATATTTACAGGAAATTTTTATGATCAAATACTAAAATTTTAGCTATATTTCTGACTCGCCAAAGTTCTGGGGCCAAATACTTTTAAGTTTATTAGCAGCACAGTTAAAGACCCTTCCGAAGGCACAACTGTTCATTTGCATTTTGTTTTGGTCACAATTGTCCCTGCAGTAGTTTCCTACATTTTAAATATTTACTGAACTTCTTGGTGTAAATTCTACTTTAAAACACGCCTTTGGTCTTTACGTATCTGTTTCCTACACATGGCGCACACATAGTACATAGCTGGCATTCCAGTCATAGAGCAGGAATGTACATAAATTTACCAACCACAAATCTGTTCTGTCTGTCTGCACTAGGAGGGAAAAGGTAAGACAGGAAAAAAAAAAAGAAAAAACCAAGGGGGAAAAGAATGTGGGCACTTTCAGATTTTGTCTCCAAAGCTGTTCAACGCTAATGATTAAGGAAAGACTTTGAAGCTGAGACTAGCAAAGGGGGATTTGCAAGTAGAATTACCTGGGAAGGGTTATTAGCATTTTGTTATTAACAAACAATGGTATCAGGATGAAAGTTTTTACTGTGAAAAGGAGAGCTAAGAAACAGAAGGCACACACACACATGCGCACATGCGTATGTGTTTGTATATATGTGTGTGTGTGTGTGTGTAAATATATATATATTAAAAAAAAAAACAGCAATATGTCATCATGACTCAAGAGTAAAGAGCCTGTGAGATGCTTCTGAGATTAAAGGCCTGGCAACTGGAGTTTAAGCTCTGAGCCTACACAAAGAAAGAGGAACTGACTGGCTGTGTGTTCACTGACTTCGGCACATACACTGTGGCACATACTTGCATAAAGAAAATATAAAAATAAATAAATAATCAGTCAAGACTGAAGAATAGCTTTCCAGTGAACTTTTCAGTGGTGGTGATACAATCTGCTTGAAAACATTTATAAGTAAAGGAATCATTTCAAATATTGAAATCCTTAGGAGTTAAATTTGATTAATATGTCCCTTGATATTTTCCATACTAAAAAGATTGTCCCCTTTTCTCCCAATTTTCATTGCCAAAATGAAAGTTTTAACATTTAAATATTATTAAATGTTAGATTTTATTAATAACTTCTATTTTGGGTTCAGTGAACTTAATATTGGTATAAAATTCCACCTCATTCTTTCTTAAACTACTTTTGCTTAGAGATATGATATTTCCATTGTTCTCTAAAACTAAATGGTTGAACCATTTATTGTAACATTTATTTTGTCAGTACAAGTCAAAGTGACTAATGACGGAATATGTCCAATGTTCAGATAATCTTGCTTGCATTATTTTAAAAATAGAATTTTTATTCTTCGGCAGCAGAAGGTACAGGGTTCTTCTCATTCCTCACCTGCATGTACACATGCTCCCCAACACCATGAACAGTCACTTGGCTTCAGTTGGGAAGTCTGAGTCCACACAGGGACATTATCACATGGAGTTCATGGTTCAAACTAGAGTTCATCATAGGCAGTGTGCATTCTATGTAATTTGAAAAATAAATAGTGCCTTGTATGTTCCTTGTGGTACCACAGAGAACCATTTCACAGCGTGAGGAACCTTTTTTCAGTAAGTTCAGTCTTTAGAAGAAGCATCTTTCATTTATTAATATACACTAAGTCACTTTATACCTTTTCATGATTTGATATGCTGCTTACCTTTTTGTCATTGTGACACAGACTAGAGCCACCTAGGAAGAGGGATCCTCAAATCAGGAAATGCCTCCATCATATTAGACTGTGAGGCACTTCTGTGAGGACACTATTTTTATTAATGATTGACCTTGGATGGCCCAGCCTACTGTTAGAGGAACTGCCTCTGGGGGTTGTAGAATAGAGCAGGCTGAGCAAGGCAGGGACAGCAAGCCAGCCAGCAGCATTCACCCATGGCCTCTGCTCCAGTTCCGGTCTAGAGTTTCTGCTGTAGCTTCCTTCCATAGAAACTTCCTTCCATAGAATAAACCCTTTCTCCTCCCAAGTTGGTTTTGGTGAATATTTTATCACAATGTCAGAGAAGCAAACTAGGTCACTTGATCACTCATTTCTTTTATTATTTTATCTTTATATGTACCACATTTTCTTTACTTATTAGGGGAGATTGCCAGGATCAGCTATTTCGAGATAAACAGGACAAAAAGAACACACACACACACACACACACACACACACACACACACACGTACAGGAAGAGATCTATTTTAGGACATTGGCTCATGGAACTATGGAAGCTCAGAATTCTCAGTCTGGTATTTGCACACTGGAGGTGGTGGTAGATTTCCACTGTGAGTCAGAAGGCCTGAAAACAGAACTCGGTTGAAGTTCTAGTTGAAGCCAGAAGGCCTAACCACTGGAGAATGGAACTGGAGTCTCAATCCAGCCTAAGGCTGCAGAACTAGTAGTAAGTACTGGTAATAGAAATCCAAGTCCAGGGGCATGAGAAGATTCATAAGGCACCTCCAACATTAAGTCAGAAGACCAAGCTCCATTTCTCCACTATTTTATTCCATCCAGTCACTCAACAGATTGGATCATGCCTACCCACCTTGGGGAGGGCAATCTGCTCTGCTCAGCCTACTGATTTAAATGTTAATCTCTCCCATAAATACCATCGGAGACAGAGCCAGAAATAATGTTTAGTCAGAATACTGGCCCAGTGAAATGACACATGAAATTTAGAGCTAGAAGTCTGCCTCTTGGGCATGGGATCTTCCGTTTCTCTAGAGCTCTTACCCAAAATGCACAGGGTCTTGACTTTGATCCTCAACACTCAGAACCCAAGGCAAACCAAACAAAAACAGAAACCCAAAATGTTCAGCTTATCCATTTGAACCCAGAAGTAAATCTTTAAGTGATACCTAACCTTCCAATAAGGATAACAAGAAGATTGTAATTCTGACAAACATTATGTAATTGGCTCTTGAATTCCCTCTTGTTCCACATCTGAAAATTTAACCACTGTGGAAAGAAAGCATTCAGGAAAATAACTGCTTCATTGCTAAATATGCACACACCTTTTCTAGCAATGATTTACTGAAGAACATTCTCATACATACTTACATAACATTTACATCTATTAGCTGCATAACTAATCTCTAGGTTATTTAATACATAGGGAAAGATGTGCTTAGATAATGCAGATCCTATGTCTTTTGGTATAAGAAACTGGAGCATGTGTGCCATTTTGTCTCTAGAAGGTGGTTTTCTGGACCTAATCCCTCACAGATACCCTTCAAATTCTGGTGTGACTGACTATATTATTCCAGTTTCATTTGAAAATGTACTAAATAATTCTGCAGGAAAGATGGTAAAATTCTCAAGTGGTGATTCTTTTCCTCCATAATAGCCAACAATTCAAATACTGCGCTATAAAAGTAATAGTACTTAAATGCTGTGTTACAATATTAATAATAATTAAATACTATGACACAAAGTCAGCAGATACTATGAATCATAATACAAAATGAAAATGAGAAAAAAATCATGTCTTATATTCACATGGATGAACATGCATACGAATGAGAAAAGACCCATCACCAGTTACATAATTGGTATAAGGCATTAGAGTTGCCCTGTCCACTATTCTCTCTGTGTTCCTTCATTTCTGTGATAAGAAATGTGTGATTTCTTATATTGTAAGGTGACACAAACCTTCATTCCTTAAGGAGTTAGTGCATCAACAGTCCCTTAGGACTTGGGAATTGTATTTGTCATTAAAGTTAGTCATCAGACAGAAATAGTAATGAGATGCCCTATGAGATGTTCCAGATAACTTCCCTTGAAAATCACAACAAGGCACCCTTGTTAATACACTAATAGTCTTATTTGCTTTAGATGAAGAGGAAATGAAGAACTCAAAGGAATTGAATAGTAGTTTGGGACTCTGGGGCTTCC